CCATGTGGCCAGAACGGATAGGATGCAGCAGAGCGAAGTGGAAATCAGACAAGCTGCAGGTTAAGTGGACAAGATGCTTCATTGTTTGAGCCTCAGCTTTTCATCTGTTAAATGAACATACCAGCTCCTGGGTGGCTGACTTCCATTTCTGCACCATGAACCTAGGGAGTGGGTGGGAACCTGTCCAGGCTTAGGTAGGCCACAGCCATAAAGGATAAAGAGAGGGCCCCAAGGGCAGGTATGGATATTTGTTTTATCTTGCTACTTGAATTGTGTTGACAAAGATTCTGAGGACTAATGCAGGCCTTCTGGGAAAGAGTGATGTCTGTGGTCGATTAGTGATGTCTGCCAGGCCCAAGATTTAGGGAGTTAGTTTTCACCACGCTTGTTCCAAAAGCTGGATTCAGCCTTGGCAGAGGAAGTGGGAGTCAGGGGCTCCCAAACAATTCAGATTATTGAGCATCTCTCAGCTACCCCGGGAGGTGTCTGTTCTGGGTAATAAGAAACAAGAGGCTCTGCAAAGGGAAGTGACCTGCCCAGAGTCACCCCGCCAGCCAGGTTGTGAGCCTAGGCCTGGCTGACCAAGCCCACTGTGTGTCCCACTGGAGCATGGAGAGACAGAGTCAGGGTCCCACCTCAAGTAGAAGAAACTCTCCTCTTGGAGCTCTGGTTTGGACTCACAGACAGGCCCACCCCCATGTACTATCTGAGGCCCCATTAACTTGGATTTCCCCTCTCCTGACAAGAGACCTTCCTCTCTTATCCACTAGGAAAACTTCGAAGAAAATCAAGAAAATACACTTTAAGGAGTTTGAGGAATTCACCAGGTCTGTAGCAATCATCCAACTCTGGAAGGGGGTGGGTGGGAGGGAGGACTTTGGAGGAGGTGCCTGAGACTCTGCATGTTGCATGGTGCACAGTATCTAGGGCTCAATGCCCAGGAACTGAGAAGCAGTAAAACTCTTAGAGTGCCAGGCAGACACTGCCGTGGTGTGTTCCGTGTTTTAACTCACTTAAATCCTCTTACCAACCCTACAAAGTGACTCTTAGCATACCCATTTTACAGAAGAGGAAACTGAGGTACAGAAAAATTAATGATCTTACTCAAAGTCACCCATCTATTAAGTGGTGGAGCAGGGATTTGAACCCAGCAATGCTGACTCCAGAGGCTATACCCTGACCCTCACATGAAAATGGTGTACACTTAAGAATATGGGTTTTAGGGGTGCCTGGGTGGCTCAGTCGTTAAGCGTCTGCCTTTGGCTCAGGTCATGATCCCAGGGTCCTGGGATCGAGGCCCGCATCGGGCTCCCTGATTGGTGGGGAGCCTGCTTCTCCCTCTCCCACTCCCCCTGCTTGTGTTCCCTCTCTCACTGTGTCTCTCTCTGTCAAATAAATAAATAAAATCTTAAAAAAAAAAGAATTTGGGTTTTATTTTTATTTTTTTTAAAGATTTTATTTATTTGAGAGAGAGAGAGAATGAGAGACAGAGAGCACAAGAGGGAAGAGGGTCAGAGGGAGAAGCAGGCTCCCCGCTGAGCAGGGAGCCCGATATGGGACTTGATCCCGGGACTCCAGGATCATGACCTGAGCCGAAGGCAGTCGCTTAACCAACTGAGCCACCCAGGTGCCCAAGAATTTGGGTTTTAGAGGCAGTAGATTGGGCGTCAAGCCCGCGCTCTGCCACTTGCTCACTGCGTGGCTTTGGGGACATGACTTATCCTCCCTAGGCCTTCAGGTCCTCATTGGTAAGGTAGACAGGATAAGAGAACCTACCGACTGCATGGAGCTAAAGGACTTAGCTCAATGCTATCCCTCCACTCTGATCACAGTTGGTCTGCTCTGCTGAGCAGGAGCCCTGGCCCTGGCTAGTCTGCCATGACACACTTCTGTCTTCCTCTTTTCCAGGAAGCTGAAAGTGAAGAACCCCACAGGTCCACAACGAACTCACCCCAATTTCTTCTGGCCGGGTCACCTCCTGGACAAGCTACAGCTCTACCTGCCCACTGTGGCTGTGGACCGGAGCCTGGCGCTCTTCAGTTGCGTCCAACCCCAGCCCCATGCCTACTCAGCCACCTACCACCCCAAACACTGGTGGCCCATTGGGAACATGAACTACATGACCTGTGCCTATTACGATGCTCCCAAGGTCTACTACATCAACTAGAGTGGCCCAGGTATTGTGGGATCCAGCCATCTTCGGGCTGTGGCCAGTGCCTTTCGCAGCCCAGAGCCACAGTCACGGGGGAAGTGTCGAGAGCCAGATAAAAGAAATCCTTTCAGTGGAATGGCGTGGAGCCACCTCTCGCTAGAGCAAAAGTATCCAGGGTCTCAGAGGGCAGATGTACCCAGGAAAGAGATGCAGTTTCTGAGTATTTCCCTGTCTTGACCTCTGCCCTTTTGAAATAAACCAGGTTGGAGTTTTTTTCATGTCACCTGTGATCCAGCTGATGTGACTTCTTGCCCAGGAGCTGTGGCCAGACAAATGTTTGGAAAGCTGGGGTCCTGAGCCCGGGGCACTAGAGCAGGAATATTCTCAGGGATCCTGGCAGGGATGCTTGCCTGGCACCTCCAGCTCTTGTCCTAGGATCTCAGGGCTCATGGGAAAGCAGCTGGCACTGTGGGTACCCTGTGCCCTTCTCCATGACATACAGTGGCAACGGGTCTCTCATCCCCCAAAGATGGAGCCATTTTGGTTACTGCTTCTCATATCTCTTTCACAGTTGGAGACATGCTCTCTAGTTCATGAGCCCTTTGCTTGATCAGCCCACCTGACCCCATCAAGACCTTTTCCTTCACAATGCACATAATGTGGGCTGCTATTAGCAGGGTGATTTCATGCTCTGCATCCCACCTGACTTCCCAGAGCCTGCAGGATAAGCAGGATTCATGAGGTTTGGTATAGTCCTAGGCACAAAGGGGTGCCAGTTTCAACCTTATTACTTGCCAGCTTTGTGACCTCAGACAATTCACATTTCACATTTCACTCCTCTGGGTCTCCTCAAATGCCCCTAACCTTTACAGTCCAAATCTCATGAAGGAGTTTTCAACCCTTTCTTCCCTTCTCACTTCTCATCCAGTGAACAACACAATCCAGTGTAGCTTCCGTCCCCATCTGGTCCCTGGAACTACTATCTAGATCAGTGGAGGCGCCTGGGTGGCCCAGTAGGTTAAGCGTCTGCCCTTCAATTGATCAGTTCGTCGTCCCAGGGTCCTGGGAGCGAGCCCCACATCCGGCTCCCTGCTCAGTGCTGAGCCTGCTTCCCCCTCTCCCTCTGCCTGCTGATCCTCCCCTCCCCCCCACCAGTGTGCGCTGTCAAATAAATAAAATCTTTAAAAAAAAGATCAATGATGACATCTGTATTGTGTTCAAATTATGGAATCAAGGCGCAATTTTATCTGAAATGTGGTTTTTTACAACAATCTTAAAAACAAAATCTAAGGAAAACAAAACCAAGAACAATTTAACACTAAGCAGATTAGCCTAATGATTAGAAGTGTGGATTTTGGAGTCGAATCCCCAAACTTCCCTTTCTACTTGTATAAAATGGGGAAAATAATAGAACTACCTCCCAGAATTGTGGGAAGGAGAGTAGAACCCATCGAACGATACCTGTTACAGTCTCATTGCTATTTTACTCTACACATTCACGTGAGGGAATTAGGAAGTCTCTGTTTTGTTCCTTCCTGGCCACTAAGAGGCGCACTTAGTAGCAGAAGAAACGCGGGCGGAAATAATCCAAAAACTGGATTATTCTCCGGAGAAATGGCTTCAATTTCTGGCGGAAGTATATGTCCCCCACCAGGTCTTAGAAGCTCGGAAAGAATTCCAAATAGTCTACGTAGTCCCAACAGAAGGTATGAAAAATTCTACTACGCTGAGATATTAATATCTAGGAAACAAAGGTATCCCTCGACTTTTTTTCAGTATTATTTTTCTGAGGTGTCTCTCTTTTCTTTGAAGAACCAGGAACCGGAAGTGCTCTTTTTTCCCTGCCAGGACCCAGAGGTTAAGTCCCATCAGCCCTCGCGCACCACCTTCCTCTCTTTTTCTCGGCGCTGCCTGTGGAGGTGGCCGCCATCTGTTACTGGGTGAGTTTTAATCGTTGGCCATCCGCATCTCTGCGGCCATCATCTGAAGGTATCGCTTCGTGGTGAGGAGGCTTGCCTTTCCAAGCAGTCGTCTTGGTGGGCTTTGTCTTTGTCCGTTGGCTGGAGTACGTATACGAACGGAACGAAGCGGCCCAGCCGATGGTGGAGGTTGGCTTCCCGGGGCCACTTGCCCTCCTACGGAGGCCGCCTGGTGCCTCCCTTAGAGTTGCGGATAGCTTGTTTGAGCCCTGGGAGTGAAGGTCGCTGTCGGGTCTAGACTGAGGGGGCCGTGGAGCGACCCGAGGGTTCCGATTTGATGACTGGAATACTCGGATCACCTTGGTCAGTGATGTGTGCCCGCGTGTATTTTCTGTTTGCGCTGACCGACGCCCCCTCCTCCGCAGTTTTCCTGTCTGGGGGGTTGCTGCTGCGGCCGGGTCACCTAACAGACCAACCACCATGAGCTGCGAGTCTATTGGTTCCGTTAACAGAAATGCTGATGGCGGGTCAGGGTCTCAGAATATAAAACGGCGTCCTTGTCTTTGAGGAAATAATGTTGGGGGCGGGAGTGCATTCGTTTATCGAACACGACGTTTGCTGAGCACTTAGCCGGGTGCTAAACAAGGAAATAGAGGCGGTGAGGAGACGAGAATAAAAAGTGTGTTGCAGGAGAAAAAGAATAGGGTAACCGGGAAGGCCTCTCTGAGGAGGGTTTTAAATTGAGACTCGGATGATCTCCAGGTAGAACAGGAAGTTCAGAGGTCTAGAAACATAGGTACATCGTGATTTTGTAGGCCTGTTATGAGGGAATTGCAGAGCAACAGCACTCGGGGAAACACAGGTTTCTCTTTACATCTGTTTGGGTTCAGTCATTGCAGGCATTCAGTGTGCGGGATCATTCCTATTTTACAGGTGTGAAAGAACTAGCCCCCGGTTCTTGTAGATTGCCCAAGTTCTGCATAACCAAAAGGAAATTGGACCATCTGGGGTTTGGGACATTGGAAGTGGGATATGCTGCCCTGTGCAAGCTGAGAACGTTTGGGGGTCGATTGGTGTTAGATCAGCTGTTGGCATTCTTCCTTGGCCTTAGTAGGTGAGGTGACTCCTGACCTCCCAGGATCGCGTCTGGAGAGTGGTTAGTATTCTGCCAGCTTCGGAGTCGGGAGGGAAAGCAAGCCTGGCAGAGGTACCCATTCCATTCCCAGTTTGCTCAGTAGCTGGTGATTGGAAGACACTCTGCAACAATTTTCAAGCCCCGAGCAGGAAAGCCTCCTTCCAGGACTGCTTGACACCATCTCTGCGTCTTTCTTAAAGGCATCATGGCTGCCCTCAGACCTCTGGTGAAGCCCAAGATCGTTAAAAAGAGGACCAAGAAGTTCATCCGGCACCAGTCAGACCGCTATGTCAAAATTAAGGTATATATGGTCCCGGGGTGGAAGTGTACTTTGGGATGGAGAAAGGAACTCCTAAATGGGCTCTTGGACTTCTGGCATCACCTGGTCGAGAGATCACCTGTGGCAGATGAACCAGTCTGGTTGGTGGTAGAGCTTTCTAGAAACCCAGGTCTCCCTGAGTATGCCTTACTGGCACTCAGTCACTTGATTATAATATAAATTGAAATTTAAATGATCAGGGACACTTGGCTGTTTTGAGCTGTCAAGTGGCTTGAATCATTTTAGGTGGACTTAAGACGTTGAGAGTAGATTATCCTTATTTTTATGATGAGAAAACTTAACATCTTGAGAGCAGTGCTGAAACCCATGCTCTTCACTCTTCATCTTAACTGTATACACAGTCCCTTCACATTCTATCAGTATGTAGTCTGCTTTTCCTTTGTTGAGGAGTGTGGATGTGAGTCTGTATTCCTGGTAGTCAAATACGGGAGCCTCTTTTTTTTTCCACCCAAAAAAAATCTAAAGATGTAGTGAAATACTGTAACCCAAAGGCAGCTACTGTTTGGCATATTTCCTTTTCATTGGGTCCCCCCTTTTTTTTCCTCCAAAGGGAAGAGTTGTTAGCAAAGACACTAACCCTCCTCTGCGTTTATTTCAGCGCAACTGGCGGAAACCCAGAGGCATTGACAATAGGGTGCGCAGAAGATTCAAGGGCCAGATCTTGATGCCCAACATTGGTTATGGGAGCAACAAGAAAACAAAGCACATGTTGCCCAGTGGCTTCCGGAAGTTCCTAGTCCACAACGTTAAGGAGCTTGAAGTGCTGCTGATGTGCAACAAGTGAGTTGGGTCCCACCTCTGGGTTCAGGTGTCAGAATTCTGCATCTGTGAGCATTTTTGGTAGGGACTCTAGACTTAATAGAATGCATTTGGAAGAGTTGTATATTCTCTCAGGAGCTTAAAGAATGCATGTTGGGGACTTTGAAATGTTTGCTTTGCTGGAGCAGGGTAAGGGAACTTGTCCTGAAAAGTGTAGAGACCCAAGATCTGGAAAGAGAAGGACTTTGCCCAATAATAAAAACACTGGTATCCTTTTTGGCAGTTCTTTGCAGAACATTGCTTTATGTGGAGGTAGGGGGGAGATCAAATACAGCCTCAGACCTAAGGGGCACTTCATGCTGTGGCCACGGGTATCTTCCTTCAGAAATCTGCAGGAACGGACGACTTGCTGCCTGATTAAGAGCTTTGTGATCTGAGGTGGAGAAAAGAAAGAAGAGCTGGCTGTTAGAGGATGGCTTACACAAAGTTGTAGACATGCAAGAGTGCATGGAGGGTTCACAGCATTACTTCCAAGTATTTTGAGAAAGTTAGACACTTTATGAGCTCTGTGTGAGAGAGACTTGTGGTCTGCTTAGACTAAAACTAGGGCAGTGGGATGAGAAAATACTTAACGTGGGAAGTGATTTAGATGCTTTGAATCTGGATTGGAGGGAATGGTGGGTTTTTTTGGTTAAGCAGAGGACCATTTTCTTTCCTTTCTATTAAACTGAAGCTGAAAACCTGTGTATTCCTAATTAGGACATGGAAAGGGTGACTAACTGTAGTGCCTATGTGTGCTTGCTTACAAAGTTCTTTTTTATCTATAGCGATTGTAGACACAAGTAATAGAAATAAACGAAGCCATTATTCTCACTTTGTGGTTGAGTTTTCTAAGTTGGGAATTTAACTGGGTGTTGGAATGCTGGAAATTTTCCTTAGAAAATCCTTGGGTGAGCATAGGAATTAGGGATGACTGCCCAAACTGCAATTAGGTGGTTGGAGAATTGTGACAGAAAGATGCAGTACCTGTTGTGTAGCAGAAGTGCAGTGCAGATGTCGCTTGTTGCCACAAAGATAATCTTTAAATAGCTTGGCAGTTTGTGTCGGGAGCCATAGAAATATTTGAAATCTATGACCTTAAATCCACAAGTTCCATTTCTGGATATTTATCCCTAAATGAAAAGCATTTTGAAACAATTGATCAATTGTTCGATTCAGTTTGAACATTTGAAAATATAATTTGTGAATGGTGGGAGTACAAGCGCTGGGTGGAGTGTTACACATGTATTTAAAATGATTGTCACGTGTGGGGAAAATGCCCAGACATGTAAGTATTTAAGACGATATGTATAGTGATTGATTGGTTATTAAATACACATGGGGATAAGGACTTGGCGGTATTTGGGGGGGAGATTTCAGTGTTGAAAAACAGATTATGGAAACATTTCAAAATAATAGCTATTTTGAGGGGTGCCTGGGTGGCTCAGTCGTTAAGCGTCTGCCTTCCGCTCAGGTCAAGATCCCAGGGTCCTGGGATTGAGCCCTGCATTGCACTCCCTGCTCAGCGGGGGGCCTGCTTCTCCCTCTTCCTCCCCCCCTGCTTGTGTTCCTTCTCATGCTGTCTCTTTCTCTGTCAAATAAATTTTAAAAATCTTAAAAAATATATATATATATGTATACACACATATATAGCTATTTTGAGCTTGAGTGGACTCCTTCATAGAAGATAAAAATTCTTTGGGTTTGCTTGTCTCACACTGGTAAGCTATTTTGCTAGAGTTTTTAAAAAGGACTTATGTTCATTGCCTGATTTAGTCACTCCTTATAGCTTTCTTTCTCTCTTTGCTGAAATTCCTCCAGGGGTAGAGTGTCCTTTTTTTTTAAGATTTTTATTTTGGGGCTCCTGGCTGGCTCAGTCGGTAAAGCATGCGACTCTTGATCTTAGGATCGTGAGTTCAAGCTCCACGTTGAGCATGGAGCTTACTTAATACTTAAAAGATTTTTTTTTTTTTTAAGTAAGCTCTACACCCAACTTGGGGCTTGAACTTGCAACCCTGAAATCAGAGTCACATGCTCTACCAGCCGAGCCAGCCAGGTGCCCCTAGAGTGTCTTTTCTTAACCTCCTGTTGATGGTGTCCTAAATCATTTCACTGAAATGTGCTCATTAGGCCAATTTGTTACCGAACTGGGGCCTGGTGCAGCTGTGAAGAATGAGTAGGTTAGAACAGTATCTGGGAGCCAGATAACTTGGGAAATACTCGGTATAGCTACTTGCTGGGTGACTTCAGGCAATGTTACTTCTCAATTTGAATTTTGTCTGCAGCAAACAAGTAAAATGTTAATGTCTAGGTCAGGAAATCCTTGGCTTAATCAGACTGTTGGATTCTGCTCTTGCTTACTTCGCAGAGAATTTAAGAACTTGACGGGCAAGTCCAAGCTCCCTGAGACTGCCCTGTGTTGGGCGGATTGACTGAAAGGATTGGGGGAGAACATTTGAACTTGGAATCTGGGGCTGAGCCATCCTAGCCCTGTCCATTTCTAAATATCTGACTTGGGAATTCACTTCTTCCTTTAAGGGTCATGGTTTGTAAGAGGAGGCAATACCTGGATTACAAGTCTGCTTTTAAGGATTAAATGAGGGGACAATGAGTACTTCTGTCCCTGCCAGGGAATACTTGAAGATTCAAGCCTTACTGCTGGTACCATGGAATTTAGGAAAGTTAGGATTTGGGACTGTGTCGGTCATCTTCATCAGCTTTGCCAGTGCCCTCATGGCTCTGGAGGTGATGTGACCCAAAACCACTGCCCTCCCAGGGAAACTCAGGAGTGTGTGTTCATCTGGCTTGCTCCTTACTAACTGCTTCTCTTCCAGATCTTACTGTGCAGAGATTGCTCACAATGTCTCCTCCAAGAACCGCAAAGCTATTGTGGAAAGAGCAGCCCAGCTGGCAATCAGAGTCACCAATCCCAACGCCAGGCTGCGCAGCGAAGAAAATGAATAGACGGCTTGTTGTGCACATCATATTTGTGTTAATAAAACCATAAAACCTACCATCTGGCATTTGACTCTTTGGTTTTACTCTTCAGTTTCTTACCCTGACAACTTGTCATGGAGACTTTTTTTTTTTTTAAAAGATTTTATTTATTTGAGAGAGAATGTGAGATAGCACGAGAGGGAAGAGGAGAGGGAGAAGCAGACTCCCTGCTGAGCAAGGAGCCCGATGTGGGACTCAATCCTGGGACTCCAGGATCATCACCTGAGCCGAAGGCGGTTGCTTAACCAGCTGAGCCACCCAGGCGCCCATCATGGAGATTATTCTTGTCCTGATGAATGCTCTGTGGAATCCTCCATTTGGAGGGGGTTTATAAAGGACACTTAATTCTTCATAGGGCACAGGCCTCTGGTGCCCAGAGCAGCCTTGTCAGCTCCAGTTGGGGCTGGGGAAGAGGGGTTGGGAGAGACTTCAGACCAAGGAAGGATCTAAGACCTTTGATTGAAGAACCTTGCAGCTCAGAGCAAGTGTACTCATCCTTAGCCCCGCTTTGTAAATTTTTGGATGACGGTCACTGTATGTAGTTCTTGTGAGGTAGCTTCTGAACAAAAACATGACAGGATGACCCACAAATCCCTCTACGATCAGCCTTGGATGTCCGAAGATAACTTTTGGTCTCCCTTTTATAACCCTCCCCCAGCTTGCTGCTTCAGGTAATTTAACAGCAGTTTTTGAAGGTGTGGGATCCTTAACATCATTGGGCCTCTTGATCGGTACTCAGGACTTAATGATCAAACTGCCTTTTCAACTACAGCCCTAAACCTTAGGCCTCAAAAGCTAGAATTTAGCTGTGTGAATTACAGGCATACCTCTTGAGACACAGGTCCGGTTTGGTTTCAAACCACTGATAAGTCAAAGGCATTTTCTGGTTTCTGAGTGCATATAAAAGTTCTGTTTATACCATTAATTTATTACGTGCAATAGCATGTCTAGACAATGCACACCTTAATTTAAAAAGTTTATTGCAAAAACTGCTAACCGTCTATTGCAAAAGTGCTAAACATCTTTGAGTTGTAATCTTGGCTGGTGGAAGGTCTTACCTCCATGTTGATGGCTCCTGAATGATCAGAGTGGTGGCTGCTGAAGGCTGGGGTGACTGTGGCAATTTCTTAAAATTAAGACCATGAGGTTTACTGCATTGACTGAGCCAAGAATGATTTCTCTGTAGCATGATACTGTTAGCACTTCACCCAGAGAGCTTTCAAGAGTCCCCTCAGAACCTGCCACTGTTTTATCAACTAAGTTGATGTAATATTCTTCAGTTCTTTGTTATTTCAACAGTCTCACAGCATCTTGACCAGGAGTAGATACCATCTCAAATTCTTTGTTCATAAGGAGCAACCCCATTAAAGTTCTCATGAAGTTGTAGCAATTCAGTCACATCTTCAGGCACTGGCAGTAACAACAACATCACCGTAATAATGAAAAAGTGAAACATTCTGAGAATTAACAAAATACGACTAAGCAAATGCTGTTGGGAAAAACTTCGCTCAACACAGGGTTGCCACAAACCTTCAATTTGTAAAAAACTCAATATTTGCAAAGCACAATAAAGTGAGGCATGTCTATAAGGTTATGATCGCACTTTTCTAAGAACTGGTAGCGAGTGGCAGTAGTCATGGGATATGGCATGAGGTACTCCAGAACAAGACGGTTGCTTATAGGGTGTTTGTTTTTTCCCTACCAGCCTGGTCAACTGAACAGAAACACTAGCCTGCTTAATGTTCTTGGCATGCTAGCCGTGAGTGGATTTAAGTCCCTTAAATTGGGTAGGTAAATTACAGGTTGCCTGCCTCCAGTTCAAAGCCTAGTCTGAAACATTTGAGTTAACTGTTGGTCGTTTTCATAATTTCTTTAAATTGACTTGGGAAGTATACTAACAGCGGTCTACTGAGTAGAGGAAGTGTGCAGAGAAAAAATAACACTAGGATCTCCTTTATTAACCTGGGATAGCACAGAAAATTATTTAGCCTATTGTGTAATATTTGTGTCTTCAATATTAAAAACTAGAAACCACATGTTCAAAATCATCCTTAGAAGGATACAAACCAACTGGTTACACCTAGGTGGGTGACATGAAAGGGGGTCTCTACTTTCTTTGTGTTTATTTCCCAGTTGGCTACATAAGAGTTTTGAAATTAGAAAAAAAAAAAATTAGATCTAATTCCCTATCCTGACCCCCTCCCCCTGCAAAAAACCAAATTTCAGATTCATTACTGCCAATTAGAAAGTAAAGCATTTTGAATTCTAAAATGTGAACAGCTCAGAGAAGTAGCTTGAGTCTTTAAGATGCCCAGCTGGAGCACTAATGTTTGGCCTATTAGATCAAGTGAAGTGAAAAGTGGGAGAGGTGTGAGTGACAATTATGGGACACGGGTGGGCAGGAAGGCCAGCCTTCCTCCTAACCTTCCGCAGGTTAGGAGGCTGTCTCCTAACCTTCCGCAGCTGTGAGCACAAGCGTATTTCTAAACACTACTTAGTCCTCTGTGAGGCAGGGACTCCCCGCTTTGAAGGTACAGACCTCCGCCCCTGTGTGAAGTCAGTCACACATCCGTGTTTGTTCGGAAGGGCTTGGAAAACGTCCCTGCCCTGTTTCTTTGAATGACTGTCCTGAGTTAAAGGGCAGCCTTGCAGCTCCTGCTGGGGGCCTCAAGTTGGGGGTCCCTGGAGAAGGCACTGTAAGCCCCAACCAGGAGCAGGAGGGCCCCCAGGGAGATGAAAGGAGGTAAGTAGAGGCTTGTGGCGGGCAGGGGGACCGGTGAGGCCTCGGGATTGGGTAGGCCCCCTTGAGTAAGGGCCCACCTGGGGGCAGGGGGAGGACTAGCTGAGTTCCATCGAGTCTGTGCTGGGGGCTGAAGCAGAATCCTTCTGGATGCTTTCAAAGAGGGCAGCAAGTTCAGGGTTGGATCGGATTTGGAAAGAGAAGTCAGCCATGATGGGGCTTTTCCCTACTTCCGGGATGGTCAGCAGGGCGGCCACGGCCCTCATTGCGGAGCGTTTCAGCTCGTCTTGCTTCTCAAATTCCTGCTTCACGGAACCAGCTTTGACCTAAAGTAGGAAACAACAATTCATCCTTTTTTGAACCTAGCCTCGCGCCACAGCTGCCTCACTGGTCTCTGGATTCCTCCAACCACCTGTAAAATCCTTCCCAGTTTAAATCACAGCACACTCCCCTACTTCTGTCTCTGTGGTTCCAGCCTCCTGAGGTTTCTTCTGCGCTTTTTACCCTGGCGGGTTTCTCCAGAGGGAGATTCTTTGTCATTAAATCAACTTCAAGTTCACCTAGGAGGCCTCTGACCAACCAATCTAAACTGCCCACCTTTCTGTTTATTAATAAATAATTGGATGGTGACAAATGCTGTAAAGTGTTCAGTTAGTTATCTCCTTCCCCTGACAGGAGGATTCAGCCTATCTCCTTACTGTGCTTAAAACAGGCTCTCGGTACCATATGACTTAACTCAATGACTGGGTCGCCGTGACAGTCACCTAGCTGGCCTCGTCCCCCCTACTCAGGTGCCTACCCCTGCAAGCTACTCTGCGTGGGGAAACTCCTCAAACTGCCTTGCCTGCCTGTTTCTTCATCCCCCACCCTCTCCCACTTACTCAAGAGAATCTCAGAATTGCCCCACTCCTTAGGGAATAAAGTCCAAATTCCTCTCAAGGCCCCCGACTTAGCCCAGACAAAGACTCTTCCCCCTGAAGAGTCCAGTGTAGAGGTTAAGAGCTTGGCATTGGGGCTGGACAGTCTTGGGTTCGAATGGCTCCTCACTGTGAGTTGCACTTCCCTTTCTGTATGGAAAGAGCCTCCTTTCCGTAGAGTTGCTTTGAGGGTTAAATGGCTTAACACAGGTCCACACCCCTTGCTCTGAAACCCTTGGGGCTAGGTGTGCTTTTGGAATTCAGGATTTGTGGGGGGGTGGGTTAGAAAGGGGATAGTGTGCAGATAACATGGTACAATATCCTGTAATCAAATGCATGAATATTTCCCCTACTAAATGAAAAATGAAAGAATATTACGAGTGTCACAATGAGAGAGAAATAAAAGTCATAAACAGCCTCAGGCCAGTTCAAGTCAAGTTTTGTTGCAAAACAAGTTCCAGAGCTTTGTTAAGTTTCAGTGGATGAGGGCTTGTGGACATGGATGCAGCAAGTTCTCATCTCAGTGCCTGACAAAAAGCGTCCTCTGCAGCCAGACTGAGTGGCCTATGTGTGGGCCTCAGATCAAAGCTCCTCTTGCCATCTGGGCTGAGTGAAGCGGGATCTGCAGCCCTTCCCTGTGAACTGGGATCTTTCTCCATGCCAAATGGCTCAAAGAAAATTAGAAATGATTTGGCCACTGAAACGGTCAAGACTGCAAGGGCCCTGCAGAACCAGTGTTTCCTTTGACTTCATACCCGGCATATGTTACAAACGGAAACTTACAAGGCAGGTTTCTATCTCTTAAGAAATGACCAATTTTATCTGTTTAATCGACAGATTTTATTTTATTGGAAAAGGTTTTGCTACTTGAAAACCACTGTTCTATGGGTATCTCTCCTCTTTAAGCTCCAATCTGAAATCTTTTTGGTTAATGCCTACCCTTTCAAAACCCAAATTAGTTCTTGCAGTCACCAGGTAATTACTGGATACCCCCTGGGTGTGCCAGCTCGGTTCCAACACCGCAGCTTGCCCCCAGGCCTCCCTCTCCAGATCCCTCCCCTGGATCCTTGAGGCACTCCAGCCTAGCAGCAACTCTGCCCTGTATCAATCAACCAATCAATAGTTTCTCTCTTTCCAGGAGTCTGACTCGGTTTCCCAATTAGGATGTGGGAGTAGGGAACCCACCACGTTCAATGTTGTATCCCTAGTACCTTGCAACAAGGCCCAGCACCCAGGAAATGTTTAATGAGTGAAAGAAAGAGCCGGGTTTGAATCCCAGCTCTGCAATTTACTAGCTGGGTAGCCTAGGTCCATAACTTGACCTCTCGGAGTCTCTGTTCCTCTGTGTACACAGTGGTGACAATAA